TTGGAGCGGCTGCTTCTATTTCCCCAACTACGGCGAGAATTATTAAGAATTTTCATTTTTGTCCTTCGTTGTCAATTGAAGAAGAGACTTTGACTTACAGCCTTGAATAACCATATATTCTTCACAGGTTTAGGTCTCTAAACGCACAGTGAATTGACAGAAACACGAACCAGAAGTCATCGCTTACATGTATTTGTCTAAACAGGTGGAGTAATTTGTTTCATTTGTTTTCGAGTTTTTGTAAGAGCACATTTCGGGCTAAATTCTGACTTTCAATTTTATGAAGATATGCACAAATGTAAGCACAAAGTGAAATCGAACACATTTGTATCGCCACTGCCTCTCCTCTATCTAACACTTGACTTTATGAGGTCTTTGCTTGTTTTGCTGACATGATTGTCTAGCTTTGCTGCAGAATTTGCTCTCTATGTACTGTACTAGAATTATTGCACGCATGCAGAGGAGCAATTTCCTATTGGTATGTATTGTACATCATATTTTGCCCATAAAAGATGGCTGTAATTATGTTTGAAGATAGATTTTTAGAATGAAGACTCGCACCATGGATTGCCTCTTCTACACGGCTCGGCACAGGTGGCTTACATGCAAGCTGGATATCGTTTTTGGGACAAAAAGCACAGGGGGTTTCGTTTTTGTAGCCGAAAAGACATGATTGCAACGTTTTTTCTTTTAGTCAACGTTTCGTATTTTGGAGATTTTTTAGGGATTATGGTCTGGGGTCAAAGGGGATTTTGTAAAAATTCGTAAAAATCAGGGGGACTTGTTTTTTGCAATTTCAAATAGCCACCTCGTGCCGAGCACTGCTTGTACGCGATATAGAATTGAAAATAAAAAGTTGAATCCGCTACGATTTACGGCTTTCGCAAGCAAATGATTTGGAAAAGACTACATAAAGCATTTATGATAAGAATGCACTTTTTTCTATAATTACGATTTCACCTAAAAATCTATGAAAGAACTTCGACTTTTGCAGAATCACTTGTCGTACCATCAAAAATGCAAAGACTGATTGCAAATTCGAAATTCTACCAAGCTTGTAATATGTGATGCTTGCTCTTCTTTATCGGCTATCAAACTTCTTCCAACATTCGCCCTTCCCCGATCTTCTTCCGACTGAATTCCCCATTAAATCGTCAACATAGTCATTGCTCTTATTGTTAGTTCAAACAACTCGACACCGTTTCAACTTTTTCTTATGATTGGCGGAACATACAGTTGCTCTCCTCACTCTTCGGGAAAAAAACGGATCACGATAAATTTTTTCGTCGCTGCGAATCTATCGTGAAAAAACGTCGGGTTGTTATAGCTTCTTCTAGAGATTTTAGAAGAAACTGAAAACGCCACTGCACTGCTAAGAATCTGGCAATTTACAATGCATTTTGATTTCAAAAAATGCTCATATTTGATCTGTCGCGATTGCCGTATTTGCCGTGACAAAACCATCGCACTGTGCTAATTTGCTTGAGCATAAGTCATGGATTGAGGAATGGTTTGCGGATCCTTGGCAAGTTTTGATTTGGAAGATGCTTTGAAGATTCAAAAAGCTTTCGCACAAAGCATTCCGTGATTTAGAATGCTTTGTTCACATTCAGGTCAAATTTACGAAAATTTTGGACGATTTACAAGCTTTATTCCAGAGCGTTACTTTTCCATTAATAAATTTTTTCAAAGATTAGAGGCTGATTTTTACCCCCGAAGAACGAGATACATCGCGGAGCGAGGTGCAGATTTTAAGGACGTATAATTTTGGAAGTTATGCTTTTATGGCCCAATGACGTTGTTTCAGTAGAACACAAAGATTCTTCTAACGAATGTTTGAATTGGATTGTTGTATGAAATAGTTTTTTTAGGTACGTGATTTTGAAAAGAGGTGCGCATGTTCACTAACAATGTGGTGCCTCATTTCCAAGACGTTAGACGCAAACGACAGGTTAATTGGAGGGTCAAAACTTCGTCAAACTTAGAACGGTACCTGCTGTTCCAAGCTTTCATCCTAGAGCATTTGATTTTAAGAAGAGAACTTTGTGTTCATTGGAAGTGTGCAAAAAATACCGAATACCTGCAAATTTCGGCCAATGTCATATTCAACTGTTAACTTTAACGTATTTTGCCTTCGAGAAAATACACTTCAAAAATAAATGAATTAGTTACTGCAGTATCACCAAACTACAACGCATTTTTGCTTCTCTCGGTTATGGCTGCTAAGCCTAATTAAGTGCTCTTGCACCAAGATCTCGGCACAGCTGTATTCGCACATAGTTAAACAGGGAACGCAGAACCCATATCAATGCGTTCGATATTTGACTTTTGCTTGAAGTGTTTGAAGAAGCCATAACGGCGTTTTCAAAAACTTTAATCATTGTAAAATCCTCAAAAGTGCACAATCTCCATAATTTTTCAAACTGTATATTTCGGATAATTTGCCATTACGAAATCGTGCATTCTTTCTTCGTCTGCAGGCAATCTAGTGGAGATAGTTTAGAGCATCTGCACCCAGGTGACATATGCTTAAAGATGGGAGTTATCTGACGGATATCGTCCAGATATCGACTGATTGAAAGATTATGTGATCAATCATAATAGTCTCACGTGGAGAGATATTTGCCTTCCAAGAACGCGCATTTGGAGAAAGCGTCACACCTTTAGAGAATCCTGGTACGCCGCCCTAAACTCCATTTGTAAGAGAAAAAAATGTTGCGTGGATTGACACTCGTCTTGCTCGCCTGTTGATGTTCTGTGAGATTTAAGTTGTGATAAGACAAAAAATTTTGAAAAAAATGAGCTTGGAAGGGGTAGAAATCGTTTAGTATGTAGCCTAAAAGGTTTGCTTTATTTATCCGTTACTTGTACTTCTTTGGGGAATCAGTACCAAAAAATCAAGCTAAACTAAAATAAAATAAAACAAAATAAATACTATAGAATAAAAAGAAGAAAAGAACTTTACCATGGCAAAGCCATGGTTCGCAGTTTACGGTAATTTTCTGAGAACCCGTTTGTTAAACTGCAGTATAAAGATAACCACCCGAGAGAGCATTAGAAACTGTAATGAATGCTGCCAAGGTCTCCAACGGAGCTTTGTTTCGCATATTTTCACGCCTGTTTTAAAAAGCGAAATTACTTTCGGTAATATGTGGTAATTTGCTTTTTCGGTAGTGACCATAACCTATCTTCAGTCTGCTGACAAGGAAGGGATGCTAGTTGTGTGGACTTTCAAGATGTGATACAGTCTGCCCCAATCGGGATCAGGCCGAACCGTCGGCTGAATTTGCGCGCTCGCAGCGCTAGGGGTTTGCGCTGCATGCGCGCGCTGTCGCAGAGAGCGAAGAGATTGAGGAGAGAGCAGACTAGCTAGACGCAGAAGTGGCGCGAAATCCTCGCGACGCGCACTCCCGCCAAGCCAATTTTGGCCTGGTTAGGATTGGGGCAGACTGTATTTGTCTTGTGGCCCTTCAAGATGCAATGTATTCCATCTTGGAAGGCATAAAACGCTGTAAACCTCTATGAAACAGTTGTGAGGATTTTTTCAGGCAAAAAACAGGACGAATTCACGACTGGAATGAGATTATTCTGGAGCGCAAATCAAGGCAGGAGAGTGAGTATATTTGATTATCAGAATTATTGCATAAATTGCCCTAAAAGTCATCATTGCTCCATTTGAGGGCTATAAATACGTTACAAACAACATCCTATTTGTGCAGTTAATTTACCCCAGAAAGCGCTCGTAACTTCTCGTTCAGGAAATTCAAACTGTACAAGGCTGATTGGCAGTTCCAATTGGCACTGTCTAAACTTCACATTGAGAGCCACTTGGGCGCTTCCCTTACTTGTGACGACATAATCGTGGACTAACCAGAAATTTTGATTTGATTTTCTTTTCCTATCCGTGAATTGTAAATGAATTGTTAAGTCAGTCCTATGCACAAACAGATCTGATTTCTTCATTAAAAGTGACAGCAGGAGCAGTCCGAACATACCAATGGGAAAAATTCGTTTCTGCATATTCTGTTCCCCTTAAATTGAGTTATCCTATCAAAATATTGCACTGATTTACTATTAGGTTAGCTTGAAACTTCTCCGACATTTGCAGACTAAATCAGCTATTCAAAATCATGCATATACATAGGCGAGAATTTGCAGCTGTACTCTCTTACGCATGTAGCTAATATTCAAGCAAGTGGGAGAAGTCTGGGATCAAGGAGGCGGAGATTTCCACTTCTCAATTATCTCGATCCTTGTTGCTCAGCTCAAATTTCATAAAAACGGTGCACACGTAAGTATGTAGGTATGTGTAGCTATTAATTCAAGCATGTGCAAACGTTCATGAGAGGGAAATCCTGGTTAGCTTAAGATTTTGTGCTTTCGAATATTCGCCTCAGTTCTCATGATTGTAGAGATTGTTTTTCTCTATCCAACGGTATCCAGTATCAGATCAGTACTTCGTTAGATCGCAACAAAAACTTTCTCGAGACTTGTCTGAGAAGTTCCGAGCCAACCTAAGACATGCTCGGAGAAATCAGTACAAAGCCCTACTAAAAGTATCCCAAAAGTGTTTTTAGTAAGATTGCTTATTAGTAACACTTGTACATAAAGTGTATACGGTATGAGCGTTTCAACAAACCTAAATTTTGTCAAAAGAAACTACTTTACAAGAAGCATAAAACTAAGGAGCCTTCAATGTTAGCGAGAAATATCAACAAACCCATCAACTGAAACCTTCTTTTAATCCAGAATTCGTTTACCAAGTTATGTATATTCTATTATTAGCCATTATTGAGAAGAGAGTTTCTAGCACGTGTAAGTCAAAAATCCTCAGCCTACTATTCAATACTAACAGCAATAACCGCAAATTTGTGAAAGTTCATTTTCATTGAAGAAAGTGAATTTTATATAAGCTAGATATCAATGTGGCTCTGTCCCGCACTGAATGGTGGTGAGCGTAGTCTTTGAGAGCTCAGTGAAAGGTGGCACTGGTACTGGCATTAGGAACGCCTAAACTGTGCAAATTAGTTTATGTCATTATTGGGGAAAGCGTTAAGTAAACCCTTTTTCCTGCAGAAGAGCGACAGCCTTCCTCATTGCGTCCTTGTACCGTTGAGACGCCAAGTGGTCCTCCTCCGTTTCTTTTAACAAAGCTGTCATTTCAGCGCTGGACCTGACTACGCTGGGTCGATTTCCCCAGATCATTGATGGAGAAGCAGTCAAGACTTTGTTATCCCCTTCAACACAAAGTTCTTTAAATGACCTCAGGAATAAATTTCCATCCCCAGGAAATAAAAAGTCTGAAAGATACTTTTCTCTGGCATAGAATCTCCCTGTATGGTAATAGAGCGGATCCACATTTGCTGGAGGCGTCGGCTCATCATCTTTACTATAGAAGGCATAAATTCCCATGATAAGCGAAGTGATGCGTCCATCGTTATGAAATGAAGCCCATGGGAAATAGGTGGCAGACACAATTTTGCAAAATCGGGCGTAACAGCAGTCTCTTTCGTTCAGCTGAATTTCGAAATTAACCTCCTCGCACATTTTTTGAGCAGTTGACTCGAGTCCGTTTGGAAAGTAATTTGCATATAAAAGGGAAGTCAGCATATTGCGCACTACATCCAAGTGAATATCTGCGGTCCCGAGGTCGTCAAAAACGCGTTTGCCGTGGAGTTTTTCTATATCTGATAGCAGGGCAGATGTAAGTGGAAGGCCGAACCATTCCCACCTACTTCCAAACCACTTTTTAATGGCGTTCCAATGATGAATTAGACGAGGTTTATAACCCCAACTCAGATAACTCTCTCCGACTGGCCAAAACAAGGCGTATCCATACTCTTGCAGACCGATCTTAATCAATTCAAGTCCGCTCCTTGTCATCGGTGGGAAATGAAACCGGGAGTACATTCCCCATTGTTCTAACTCGGTGGATTTTCTATTGTAATGCTTGCACACAATCTCAGCTTGCAGTGGTATAAGCCGCAAGGTGTAAGCGGCAAGCAGCAGCGCTGCATCCCAACCTTTCTCTTCTTTTGCAAAAGTAGTCAAGATAGTGTCAATAACCTGCTGCAACTGCCGTGCGGTCATTGAGCGATAAAGCTCGTTTACAATAATTCGCAATGCACTTTCTGTCGAGTCCCATCTCACAACAGCAATCTTTGCCAGTAATTTTACGGTTTCTTGCCAAAGTGAAGACGCAGCAAACCTTAGCTTCTCCACTTTCATCTGGTTGATTGACCCCGCCTGCACAACGTCAGCTCGCTCAATAATATCGCGACCCAAGAGAAGACCTTCCATAGGGTCCTTTGCCAGGTTGGCGATTGTGATGACGTATAGCCACCAAGCTGCCGCATGCGAAGTAGGTTTGAGACTGTATGCTCCTGTGGCCACAAGCATCACAGCTACGGTCGCCTTCAGATTTCTAGTGACATTTTTCAGTTCCTCACCCTGCAGTGGATGCGAGGCAATGGGCATCCATTGCATGTCACATTCAGTAGCATCCCATTCCGACATTACTGGAGGTGCACGTGTTGCCTGCTTATCAAAAGCGATCGACTCCCAAGCAGAGATATTGTGCATCGTCGCATCCGTAACATCGAATATAAATTTATGATCGGCTTTGCCCCTTGCATCTTCAAGTGTAAACCATCCTGCGCTTGAGTCCTTTGCATCAGCGCTGCCTTGTTTAGCCTGAAAATGACGGAAGTCAATGGTGATTATTTAGCTTTTACAAGCTAATTAGCAAACCACAATTATTAGTTCGTCACAAAAGTAAACCTTATTTCTAAATAAATCAAACTGTTTTTGTTTTCCTGGCAGACCTGGAGTACCATTCGATAGAACGAAGCAAGCTCTATAAAATGACAGCTATTACCTAAAAATTGGATTTTTGCGAAGTATAATCGTGCGGAACTCAAACTTGGTCGTTGTACAGTAAACACATAGTTGTACTCAAATATGCCTTTACTAGACTTTCTTCGAGATTAGAAAGCAAGAAAAAAGGGGCACTCTGAAAATTGCAAACTCCGGCCCAAGTCCTTCCGCATATGTCATAATGTATCATAAGCCTTTTTTAGTGTAATCTCAGAACTTTACCCCTGTATGTGCTCTTATAATCGAGAAATACCGTGAAAACCCCGAAAAAAGTGGCATTTTGGCATTTTGGGACCATCTTTGTTTCTCAATTTTGAGCTCCGTAAATTATCAACCAAAAACGTTTTTCGGTAACACTATATGTTTACAATGTAAGGACCAAATTGGAAGTCGTAGGACCTGGAAGGAAATCCGATTTTGAGGCTAGCTGAAAAATTTTGATTTTTGGATCCAAATTTTACCTGGATCGCAGCTTAGGCGGTTCTTTGATGTTCCTTTTGTAAAGCTTGCTTCGCTCTATCGAATGGTGCCCCAAGTCTGCCAAGAAAACAAAATCATTTTGATTTATTTAGAAATACGGTTTACTTTTGGGACAACCTAATACTATAGATTGCTAGTCTTTTGCAAAGAGAGTAATTAAAAAGATTCCCACCTTCACTTGCTTACAAAGAGAGTAATTAAAAAGATTCTCACCTTCACTTGCAGTTTTGACATCTACTCGAAACAAATCTATCGCGGAATAGTTTCTTGCGAGTTAGTAATTCGTTCTGGAATTGAACGTTAAGCTAACAATGGAATGGTCTAAAGTCGAAGTGGCCAGTCCACGCAACCTACCATTCGATGCAGCATTCAATGCTGATTTCGAATCTGTATTTCTTATTTGCTTAGCGCCTTTGTAGACGAACTTATGAGCAGTTTTATTGCGAAAAAAATCGTACATAAAAATTGCAAAACCGAGCACATTATTGCTTTTTCAGCTCATTTTTAGTTCTAAGTATTTAAGGTAAGCTAGCTGCATGTTTTGGTCCAGCATTAAGCCGAACATGGCTCTACACTGTCAAATTTGCGCATCGCATGCACGATTTCTTAGCAAAATAACGGTCTTTAACGGCTCATAACGTCGCCCGCATAGGCGCCAAGCAGATAAGGAACACATATTCGAAGTCAGCGCTTTACGCATCTAACGGCATGCAACTTATTTGAATTGGTCACTTCGATTTTTGGCCATTTATTTGTAAGAGCTCTATAAAATAAACAAACTGATATAGTTGAGGCAGTTTTTGTCTAGCATTGATAACTTTCAGTTATCAATACGCGGGGACTCACCAGGTTTGCGGCGGGTCCCCAAGCATTTGTATGCAACACGATGCAGTTGCTAGATACGGTAGCGGGGTTTAGCTGGGGACGGATACCTCAGACACGAGTGCGTCATCTGGCTACTGCTTGGGCAGTTCAAGGCCTATGTATTAGGATCGCCGCTGAGAAGGGTGCGCAGCTTAGGAGCAAACTTTATGTTCTGAAGCTGCGGAGTTCTGCATTTCATACACCCATTTTCAAGCGTTTCTACTGCTCTTTACTGTGAACATGATGAACGGGGGGAAGCTGTACAAGCAGCGTTTCCAGCTTTTTGTATAATCTTTTAACGAACTCGGCCGCCGACTGTTTTTCTCAATGAAAACATCTCAAGATTGTGGTGATTGCCTGACTTAGTGTTACAAATGCTATCCCTATTTCCGACAAGACGAGTAGTGTATCAAAGTGATGAAATTGACGGGTCACAAGGTGAAACTTGGAATTCATCAAAAATTTATTTCTAATTCATTTTTTCTTTCGAAAAATATGTTGGTCACTGTTGAATCAGATAATCGCAACTTCGCAATTTGTGAACCTCATGGTCCAAATCTGCCTATATGCAGCCCTCACAATGTTCCTATGTCTCAACGATTTACAATGTGAGGACAGATATTCAGCGTTGACCATTTCTCATGTTGTTATGAGAATGCTCAACTGTGAATTTCCGCATCGAAAAGAATTCAAAGCACCAGAAGCCGTATATCAACTCTAAGAGATGGCACAATGTCCGAAAGACCCCGTCGTTTCAAATTCTAGAAAGCGCGTCTGTGGGTGATTTAAGTTACACTACAAGGTAAGGCATGACGATGCGTGCGATCAGCGCCATATGATTTCTGTCTCCGACTTTTGTGAGGAAACGGCAGCTGATTAACAACTGTTTTTCTTAGCTCTTTTTGAGAGAGCTGATTTTCAAAGAGAAAACATTTTTCTTCAAAACCCCTTGCAGTGTCGGAAAGCCCGGCTCCTCTAATTTATAACATGTGCTTTCGTTTTCGCAAATCTTTGTTGAAGCCGAAGTTCCATGCCTTCAAAAACAAGTGATTAAAATTTGAAATTCTTTCCCTTCACTCTCCTTGCTCTAAATCTATGAAAAGTAGACGGATTCTCTTTGAAAAATATGCATAACGATCGCGAAGCTTGTGCTACACGCTTGTCAGTATGAGATTTTTGAAAAATTCCGAGCCGAGAAATCTTGTCTCAAACTTGGTTGGTAGCTGAGGCCCATCTAAGCCGCATAAAAACTCAAGCGAAAAGCGAATGTATAAATTTTGCTATATACATGTAGAGTATACCTAGTACAACTAATGTTAGGAAAACGGCAGCATTTCATCGTCTTTTTGAAGAGAAAAAGTTTAAAAAATTTCAAAAAGGCAGTTTTTTAGATTTCCAAAATACTGAATAAAATGGGTACTTCCAGTTTTTTGCAAAATTTTCTCACAGAAATAGGCCGGAAAATCCAAACTTCACCCCTTTGCACAACCGACCATCGGCTATATAATAAGCAAAGTCCGCGCGATCCTAGTACATTTAATCAAAAGTTAAGCTCTCTCAAAGTATAGGTATCTAAAGAAATGTTCGGGAATTTTTTCGGCTATAAAATCTTTTTTGAAGTGACTGCGATCCAGCAAAAACATGCATTCTATAGTCAAAGGTTTGTTGTTTGCGGTAATTTTTATTGCGCTCAAAAAGATGGTTTCGGAAAAGAGTTATTTTGAATAGAAGTTGAAATTCATAAAACATGCATTAATTATGAGACAAACTAATATTTCAAGGATAGCTACACCATTGAGCATATATTTCCGTATGCCCAAAAAAGTCTCTTTAAAGCAATGCATGGTTCGCACTAACCAAGATAGAGGAAACTCCAGCTGAGCTATTTTTGAAATTCTGAGCAGCTGTTGTTATTACAGTCTCAATCCCTATATTGGCAGGGCTACAGCCTGCTTCGATTACTTTGAAAGAAATGGGTCAATGAGTCGGCAATTACTCATGTGAGCCGGCAAATGTGGTGCGGGGCTCTAACGCCAATTGGCTCGTGCCCGCCGCTTCACTTTGCTTTGACTTATACTTGGTTGGAAAAGACAGAATGGATTTCGACTGCGCTCTAAGTTCAGGAATAAGCAAGAAATTTCGTTCGGTCAACAGTTTGGTTAACTATCTCAAAACCGGTTATTCCTATGAAACTCTATCCATGGATACAAAACACATTTTTTTCATATCCCGTCATAATTTTTAACGAAACCTTTATTGAAATCATCAGATTTCAATCTTACGACATGGACGTATTCATCGATGAATTTACAGAATTTGAAACACATGTCATATGATTCAACCTAAAATTGAGGAGCGAATGAGCGCCCACCAATTTTCCGCGATGACCTCTTGATTTCGCGACGAAAATTCGTTGAAGAAGGAAAAAGTTATAGCGTTTGACCTCAAAGTTCTCCAGTTGATGTTCTATGGTTGCAGAGTTGATTAAATGTGGAAGTTGATTGCATTAAATAAAATTCGACCAAAAAGTCATAGGTATATGGCAAAATGAAATATGGCAAGACGAGAGAAATTGTTTCGTATCCGTATTTCGTTGTCATTTTTGATCAGTTTGAGAGAGCTTTTTGGTTACCGCAAATCCATAATTATTTACGAAAAAATAAGGTAATCTTGCTACCAAATCAAACGCTACCAAACCTTCAATCAATGGGTTTGGACCAATGAAAGACAAATGAAAATCTGTTTAGATAAGAAAGACATTAAGTGGTAGACTGCGTGCACAAAAAAGAAAATTCACGTTCCAAGTAGCCTTTGTGGAAACACCAGGTGAAAGTCCCCGAGAACCAAGATGATACTAGGATAGAGATGACCTGCACCAATATGTATGGAGACATCTGAGGCAAACCAGTCTCATAAGCGAGGCATAAAAGATGAAAAAACAAAAAAAAACAAAAAGGGACATTAGCAGATTGTGCAATAGTGCTTATCAAAACTTTCCGGCTAACCTCTTCCAAAGTTTCCGAAGACGTTAGCGACTGAGGTATTGGAGAAACTCACTGAGTGCTGCGGTGACTTCCTAAATGTAGAGGATCTGGAAATTGTAATAAAGTGGCCATTTTATTCGGAAATTACAACGATGCTGCGAGGGTAGATGAGTAGATGATAAACGGATAGGGACATGAAAAAGCTAAGGACCGACTCTTGACAACGATACGCACAAGAATCGCTGACATAATCGCTGACACATATTGTTAGAATGAAACTGCAAGCGACTCGCAGTATTGCTCGTATAACAAAACTTATCCGGCTTATCGAACCCCATCAATTTGCTTTATTGTTTTTTCTTGTTTTTCGGTTTTGGTTTTTGTGCTAGTTGGATACTCCGGTTCAAAGTAAATCGGGGTCTGAGACCGAATGAGAACTGTGTATTGGCAGTGCTCAGATTTACCATAATGTAAAAGTGATAGATATAAGATATTTGTTCAAACCGTGCTATATATGCTGAACCTCGCCCGTGATAGGGAGAAGGGAGAGAGAAGCCTACAAAAATTTTCCTAAATAAATTAGTTGCTTGTTGCTTGCAGTTTCATTCTAACAATATGTGTCAGCGATTATGTCAGCGATTCTTGTGCGTATCGTTGTCAAGAGTCGGTCCATAGCGTTGTTATTTGAAGCAAATTTCAACTGGAACGCTTCGCAGTCGCGAGCAACGTGAACTTCCGTAAAAAAGAGAGGAGTGCGGGCCACGAAATTGAAGAAACATTTTATTTCTCATACTGATGGTTGTCAAAAATTTCCAACAATTATTCAGATTGTTTACAACGAAGCAAGTTGCATACAAATTTTATAAATTGCGTCAACTACTTTCAAGTTTTAAGATCCACTACTGCCAGTCAAAGCTCCCCTCCCGCCCTCTTCAATTTGTCACTGGTGCCCAGGGCACCGATCATACCCCATCCTACAAATTTGTTCCCGTACTGTCTAATAAGTAATGGAAGCACAACGATGAGACAGCAAAATCAGTAAATACGATGAAACGAACTCTGAAAAGCATTAAAGGAGTCACACACTATCTTCATGACTTTGGAGCTGTCTAGCAATAGCGCTGCAAAGTTTTGCAAACTTAGTAAAGCAGCAGGAAATCATACGAAGAGAAGCCGTCGTCGATAAGATGTTTGAGGAATCGAACAGAAGAGGAAACAAAAACGTCTAACATTCTGCGTTCCCATCACTTGCATGATGTAATTTCTTCGAATTCGCAGCACATTGCGCGATCACATTCTGTACTGATAGGAATGTGTTCTCTCCTCAGGTGTACTGTCTGATGAATCATCAATTTTCATCACTGGCTTTTATCATTAGACAGTTTTCACTTAGCAGATGAGTTCACTCAGTTGAGAGTTTGGAAGTTTGATCTAAAAACGGTTTTATTTTTCTAAATATATCAGATTTCCCATAACCTCAAGCTTTGGCTTCAAAAAAAGGTGGCGTGCCGGCATTGAAAGGCTATTCTTCAAGTTTCGCAAATGTTTACTCAGATACAAATTGCATGATTTTGTAACGTATGTAGGTCAACTTCAAACTTGAAAAAGCGGTCGAAAATTAGCGAATAGTTCTGTTTAAGGATTCGAATTCTATCTTACTGTAGTTAGTGCGGCGATTTTGCTGAGACTTGTGAAGTCCTTTCTAAATATTTCGTAGAGAGCTTCTTGAATTTTAAGGCCGCTTAACAGCTGAATCTTTGAGCCTTTTTTTACCAATTGACATAGCAGATAGCTTGTAAGGATGTTGTAAGGAACTCTCGTATGTTTCATAGCTAATTGTAAGTTGCTAAGAATGTTTGTAGCTGATTCAAAAAAAGATGTTATGAGAATAATTTTGGTCTCAGGAAGCTGCGAAGAGCCAAATAAACTTCAGTTTGCAGCGTTTTACATCCGTCTGTTTTTCATCCATTATCTAACATGTTATCATAAGCAAACCTTATGATTGTACTTCGACCT